TTTGTCTATGACTCGCAGTGTGATGCAATATATTATTCCAAAGACAAAGACGCACGACACTTTTATATTCTAAATCACAAACTATACATAATGTATCGTACACATTTTGCACACTGAAATTCAAATATGCATTTACATCTACGGGCTGTTGTGCCAGAATTTATATAATTTGTCGTCGAAAAAAAGGGGGCAATGCATCCAATCTCCAGCTTACGATGTCTGCGGGTGTCGTGATCAATTCATCACCGGAGGTAGCAGCGGAGGTTTTTTTTTTTAAATATAATTTCATTGGATGCCGCAAAGCCAGAACGTTCCGCGGGACTCGCTGTTCACCGACACAATCCGACCGAGCCGGTGATCCCGGCGAGAGGGAGGGAGGGAGGCAGGAATGCAAGTCGAGAGGACGGCAAGACACGAAGGGCAGCAGCATCGCATCCGCTCGCGAGCACACAAGAAGCTCGCGTTTGTCTCCGGGTATTCGCGTCTTCGGAGCGCCGCGTATCCCACCGCCGACCCCACCCTTGAGCAGGCGGGGCGTCTAGCGCACGCCTACGCTGCTTTTCTAGCGTCTACGCATTCTTCACGGCCAGCGTGACGCCAAGCCCAGGCTCCTGTGGTGCTGCTGCTGCTGCTGCTGCCGCTGCCGGTGCCGCAGCAGCGTTTGTAAATGCGTTCCGCGACGCACCTCCTTCCCAGGTCTGTGTGCGAAGCATGGTCCTAACTCCACTTTTGGTGAGCGTTACGCTTTGGTTTTTTTTTGCGCCACACATTTGCACCGTAATCTATTTGTGCGCGCGCGCGTGCGTGTGTGTCCGTGGTTACATGTGGGGAGCTGGATCGTAGTGGTCAGCGCCCTGCGCTGCGAACCTGATAACGCGAGTTCGATTCCCGCCCATGGCCAACATCGGTGGCGAATATTTGAACCGGTCCTGGGCCTCCACCTAGGTTGACTCAGACTTAAATGAGTACATGGCACGATGTGTGAACATCAATTGGCACTGGGAAAGACAAAGATACTGACGTACTGGCCTTCATAGGTGCTCGCTAACAGAACATTCCTCAATAGGGTCTAGGCTGTACAGGGGATCTTTATCTTCGTCTATGTTTAAAGACAATAAATCAAGGCTACGTAATGATTTTGATGAATGTACTGGCTGTCAGATATTTATATAAGGCCTGTGCAAACGCAATGCATGATGTAACTGGCAATGGACCGTGCAATAAGGGTGCATTATAAAAGTGTTTAACTGCACATCTTCAACATCTGAGCTTTTCAATGGAACATATTAGTGCTGACTTTGGAAACAATGTTAATGTAATCTGAGTGTATTGTGAATTGTGCGTCTGCCCATTAGAGTGCATTCGTTAACAATGATTTACAATTGTGTAAAGAGCATGCTTCACAATGCATATATTCAGGAGTTTGTGATCGGGTGGGATCTTTCGTGTGCTTGGACAAAAACTAAGCTGTTTTGACCATTTCACTGATATGCATTTTTACCCAATTGGTTTATATCTGGACATATGCCAGGTATATAGTCACGTGTCATGGCCAGGAATTACGAGTGTAAACAATGATGATGGGAGGAAACAGAGGTGGTGGCGAAACAGGAGGAAGGAGAGTCAGAGCGAGAGAGAAGGTGCAATTCGGGAGGGAAATGAAATGAGGCATTGACTGATAATTAAACAATAATGCGAGGACATACATTGAGAGTGGGGCACAAACATAAATAAAAAATAAACAAGTATAACCCGTAAAAACAACGTTTTTCACTATAAATCCTTTATATGCGTGGCGGCTAGAGTCCTCTCGTCCTCTGGCTTGAGATGGCTGCCACCTATGGGTCAGATGATTGCATGGCAGCATTAAGCAATTGGTAATTAAATATAATATTTTTGTCCTAAAAAGTGTAAAATTTTGGAAAAAAAATTTAACAAACATTCATTGTCACGCACAACGAGTCTGTGTGGAAAATGTCAGCTCGATTGGATCACGGGAAGTGGGTTTAAAAACGACCGAAAGGTTTGCACGGTCCTAAGCAAGCAAGCAAGCACGCAAGCGAACTTAATATAAAGGATTTAAAAATCACCACGTTCACCATTAACACTGCCTTCACCATAGTAATAATCAACCATGCTCTTTGCACTGCTGGATGGAAGGCCTCCCGCTGCAATGTCTCACAATCTTGTGATGGAGCAATCCAACTAGCACGTGTACAGAGCACGTGCACATGAGCTACTTTCATCGCTCCATCTCCGCTCCCTCCTTTGACTGCCACTCAGTCACTCGTCTCGACCGCCGACCATCATCCGCAATAGCGACGTGCTTCTCCTGAGTAAACTCACTTTTCCGAACAGGCAATGCGATGTCTCTTACTTTAGCATGTGCTCTCATCCACGTGCTCCCATTTGTGTCTTTCAATTCCAAGCGCGTATCTCTCCACGCTTCTTTGCGTGTCGGGTCGTGGCGGGTTAACGACACATTTAATATTTACTCGATCTCACCCACACACAAAAAAAACCTTGCTTATGGACAACATTGCTCACGAAAGCCTACGTGTTACACAGGTGAAGACAAATTGCACGAGACTTGCCAGATACAAAATATAACGCACCCCGACGTGCATTGTAAGTAAAATATGTTTGGGGGGAGGGGGGTGTGGGAGGAAAACGGAGCAAATCAGGCCGAGAGATGAGAATCCGCAATGGCAATGCGGTGTCTGCGCACGATAAAAAAAACTTGCAACCTTCTTCGGGCTCTCGTTAAAACGAGCTCGTGGTACCACCGCACAACGCCTCCCCACCATTTCCCACTCCCTCGAGTGTGACCGATGCAGCGCAGTGCCCTGAAGGTAGGTCACTGCCGAGAACATTTGTCTCGGCCGTGAACGCTCTCCGTGCGTAGCCCCCGTGGTCAATCCAATGACGAATGAAAACCTCCCCCGGGCCGTGTCGGTCATGGAGGTTTGTTTGACGGCACTTCACCGCCCTGGTGAGTACGGGTTGGTGCAGGAGAGGCCCCCATGACCGACGTGGACCTCACTCGGCACTGATAATGGCCGTAGTCAGGAATTTGGGTTTGCAACATTGTGCGCTAATCACCGTGCAGACACTTTACCCTCCGTGTATATTATTAGGGGGGGGGGGAGGAATAATGAATGCATCGAACCAATTAATAAAATTTCTTAATCTCAAAATTGCACGTATTAAATTGAATAATGAATGCATCGATTCAATTAATACAATTTCTTAATCTCAAAATTGCACGCATTAAATTGCGTGTGTAAGGAATAGTTTTCTGAGTAGTTATGTTGTAAATATAATGGGTTCGCAATGAGAAAAATTGATTCTTGAACAGAATATTTATTGCGAATAGTGACACTTTATCAATCTCTAGGGGGTTGGGGGGGTGCGGTGGCAAGCTGAGGATCGATGTCGACTTCAGAATCTTGGACGCCCTTTGGCGGTTTGATGTCAGAGTTATGGAGAGGCACGGTCAAACTGGAATCTTTCCTGGGTTCAGACCTTTAACTTGATGAAGAGGTCTTCTGATGTGGATCGTTTCGCTGGAGAAGGTCTGAACTAAACCAAGATGAGACCATAGGAAGGCAAAGTGCCCGGATAGCAAACGATTTGTGGAGGTGATTTGCATTGCATGTTCAAACGGTGGTAAGATATGTCGCGATTCCCGAGTGATTAGTGAGTATGTCAAGCTTCTGCATCGCAATTAACTTAAATAACAATTTTGTGCGTTAACCTTTTGCCATCTCGTTTGCATTATTTCTTATTTGTTGCGTCCCCATTTATATGATCTCGTAAATTATTTGCGACTAAATGTCGTAATAATGATAATAGCAGCACATCATCTGCAACTGTAATTATATCATGCTATTTGCACCTCTAATAATAGCGTATAATTTTCACCTACAAGCATTGCATATCATTTTAACATCTAATAATAGCATATTATTTACACCTGCAACACTTAGCATGGAACATTTGCAGCGTGGAGCAGAACAGTGGAGCACAGAGTAAACTGCTGCCCATCAAGATCACGGGAGGGCATCACCAGAGGAATTAATTAGCTGACGGCCTGTGCCATCAACTGACGGATGATGTTGCACGTACATTTGCACGGCGCTTGAATAATTAATTATCACACCCATCGGTTCGATGTGTAGTAATTTGAGCCCAGGAATCGATTTCAATGGATTAAGGTGTTGCTGCTGCTGCTGATGTTGTTGTTGTTTGTGCTTGAACACCACTGCCGTTGCAGTATCTCAATTCACGTTGGATGACTTGCACCTGTACCGAACCTTTTCTGGTGCCTCTTGTTCTCGTATTAAACCGTATTGGCACATCTTCTTGGTTCTTTCGGTAAAGTTACGTAGAAGGGAAATAATAAAATAATAACAATAAAACATTATAAAATCATTCTCACGACGTGTCGGCCACAACGCAAGCAGCCGTCCTCAGGTGAAGAACAGGTCTGTCGGGAAGACGTTGTAGCCGAAACGTCGTGAGAATTATTTTATTATGTTTTATTTTTATTATTTTATTATTTCCCTTCTACGTGACTTTACCGAAAGAACCAAGAAGATGAATCCCTGCAGTCACGAAAGCTTTAAACCGTATTGGCACAGTTATTTGTTTGTTTGTTATTCGCTTGTGTTTTGTTCAATTTGTTCATTGTGAATAATTCCCGAAGCACCATGTATTCGTTCTCTGCAACGTTGATGGTTTTTGTTTTGTCGTTGCTGCTGTGCTCACGCACCGCGCATCTCCCGTGTAAAATAGCCGGACAACTGGCTAAACGGGACCGTCATCCGTGTAAACGTATGTTGTATGTATGTATGTTGAACTTCTTTCGCACCGTACGTAGCCAACCGCGCTAATCGGAGGTGCGCGGGGTAGGGGAAAAGGCGACAAACTAAAACGCACAAAGCAGTTCTAACAAATCATCGACTCAACACTCAAGACCCTCTCTGTCCGTTCCGCAGTCCGAGTCTAAGCTGTACAATGCGCTCGAGAAGGAGAGCAGCACACCCTCACACCAGAAGCTCACCAAGAAGGAGACCCTCAAAGTAAGTGGCCGTGGGCGAGGCCGCCGCCGCCGACTCGACCGTGCAAGCGCGTTCCGTCAGTGGCCCCGTGCGCGGTTGGAGGCAGAGAGGAGCGACGCTCACAACAACGAGCGGAGCGCCGGGCGGATAAAACGCAGCAAAGTTGGCAGAGTAGGGGGCACGGGTGGTGCATCGGGGCAGTCGTCTCAGTCAGTCGACCCGTGTGGCACCTGCTGAGTCTGTCCCGTGACCTCCTGCCAGCGGGCGTTCGACAATTCACGTGGCACTTAAAGTGCACCTTGCCTGGCACAAACACCGTGGTGACGTCACTACCACTTAGGTGGGCGAATGGCGGTTGTTGTTGTTGTTGTTGTTGTCGTTGTTGTTGTGCATGGAGAGCGTCCGGCCGGTCGGCGGCTCGACGATTCGGAGGGCAACCCTTCTCCACGGCAAGGGAAGGGGCAAGCAAGTGTATCCTGCCAGCGCTAAAGTTGCTCCTTGTTTTTTTAATTCTATAGTTCTTTCGGTAAAGTCACATAAATAGACAAAAGAATAACAATAAAATAATAAAAATGAAAAAAATGCACTCTATTTAAAAAAAAATATTTTATTACATTTCTTTTTTCTCTCTCTACGTGACTTTACCGAAAGAACCATAGAATGTGAATTTCCTGCAGTCACCAAAGTTCTAAGTCCAAATTGCTCCTCGTTCCCGAACGTTAAGGCGGCCTCCCCGTTGACACGTTAACGGGGAAAGGGACGTCACAATTGGTCGGCGGTGCTGCAGCCACGCACGCGCCAGTTTGTGATTTCTCACGCCACGCGCATTTACATTGTCCTTTTAACCTCTTCAACCACTGCCCGAGATCTGACTCCCCCCCCCACCCTCCACATTCCTCTCTATCTCACACCCCCCGCACCCGCCCGCCTGTGTGAAAAATCATCTGTGGAAAGAGTAGGGAATGTAATTCGCAAACGCCCTGCAGGGACAGAATTTTCTTTACTGATCCTGGGAATGATCGTAGAGAGGTGTCGACGCTTAAACGTGTTAAGCCTTTACGCCTGAATCGTAACAAGCTGTGTTTTCAACGCAAGACGTTTATACTATATGTGAATAATAATAATGATAATACGTAAAGTGTGAAAAAAACCCTAAACATTTACGCACTATCAATTGAAAGTCGTATTCAACTGTGTTTTTTTCATTGATGTCTAATACAGTCTATACAGTTGATCAACAGACCACATGTGGTGGGTTAAAGTGTGGGTGCTCCCCAACTACTACAGTGTGGTCAAAATATCCTCTAGGGAAGCTTTCCAGAGCTCACTCTGGTCCAGAGCTCACTCTAGTCGAGGTCCTCCCACCTGCAGTGGCTTCACAAAGCAATTGCAGTGTATGCAATCATGTTTCCACATGTAATAAATGGATGGTTATTCATGTATTTTCATCATGGATAGGTCGGTTTAAAATTACTAAACTATTTAAAGCCCAAATAACCTCATGCAATCTTCCAGTTAATAATACTCACACACATCAGGCCAAACTGTTACCTTTTGATTCACACAACAATTCTAAGAATGCAGTCAGAATTTGGTAATTTTGAGTTAATGTTGCTAGACGGTGGCATGTATGCCACGTAAGTTGTCGACTTGCAGAAAAAAACGATTCCATTGTGCGCAAACCGTGCTGCTTTGTATCTCTAGACTTTGCAAAACGTTGCACTGGCACACAGATCAATAATTAGATCGTCAATCCAAACACTGCTGCTGGTGCAATAATTCCTGTGCCTGCCCAATTTATCCTGCTATTGACTTAAATGCCTTGCTTAGAAATGAGTGACCTGCAAAAACAAAGAGCTCCACTTTGTCACAAAAATAAAATTTGGCTAAAGATTTGTAAAAGGGCACTTTTTATTTCATTACCAGAGCTTATTTTGGCCATGTAGCCTTTCTTGTAACATTGTCCTTATCTTGGTAGTTCACGATATCGTAAAAAAAAAAATCCGAAACAGCAACCTAGTTTCAATTGGTATTCACAGTTCAACGTTGTTACCGTGTTTTATTTTAAACCATTTTAATTCGTGAAAACCCGATACAAACATCGCGTCAGATGGACGCATTCGTCTGCTTCGACTTGAAAAAGCGGAGAATGCTGGCCTCCGACTTTGTTCATGCCACGTTGAGTCAACTTGTCTCTTGCAGGTCTAAGGGCAGCAATTGCAGGGCTGCACATATGCAAGTGGCAGAGCGAGCGTATTCCAATCGGGCGGTTGCGAGTCAAAACCCTAGTTGGTGGGTTGACTCAGCCCATCATCCTTCTGGGGTCAATAACACGAGTACCACTTTGTAGAGAAGTCAACAGCGGTTGTCCTATAGAGAGACTCCTCCCTGCCATAGGAATGTGGAATTTCCACGACTATCTCAGGGCTTCATATTCTTGGTTCTTTCGGTAAAGTCACGTAGAAGGGAAATAATACAATAATATAAATATAAAACAATAAAAATTCTGTGGATGTCACACCTGATGACGATTGCTTGTGTTGCAGTCGAAACGTCGTGAGAATTTTTCTTGTTTAATATTAATATTATTTTATTATTTCCCTTCTACGTGACTTTACCGAAAGAACCAAGAATATGAATCCCTGCAGTCACGAAAGCTTTAAATCAAAATTTATCTCAGGGCTGTAAATGGAAGATGAGCACCGCCTCGTTCAATGCTCGTTTGAGCAGGAAATCACTTTGACTTTGTTTTTATTTTATTGTGCGTAAATCGTTTTCTTTCCATAACCTTCTCTGAAATGTGCCCAAAGACAAGAGGCGGTGGGGGTTCGGCCCCCGCTGTCAAACTCTCCCGATACTGACAGACGGGAGCAAGCGGGTGGTATTGTGCAATTTGCAGCGAGGGGGGCGGGCGGGGAGGTGCTGGCCAACACTTGGGGGGCAGGTCCTGGCAGCCCCCAGCGGGCCTCACTGACTTCTCACCGCAGGTGCAAAAGAAAAACTACAGGCAGGAGAAGAAGAGGGCCACTAAAGAGATGCTCAGCACACTCAAAGACCCAGCGGTGGTCATTCTCTCCGACTGGCTAAAGGTGGGTGCAGGCAACTCGTTAAGCATTGTGCACGAATATCGGTGAGTTATATTTATATTTAACTGCCTATATATAACACATTTGATAGTTCACCATGCATAAACTCCGCAGATTAAAGTTCAAGTTCATGTTCAAGTTCATTTATTAGGTATAGCCCTGTGAGCCATTCGGCTCTTGAATTGGGTGCAACTGCAACAAACAAAAAACAAAAACATGAACAAAAAAACATATTAAAGTGAATATGTGACTGAGTGCAAACAGAAAAGAAAGACAGCAACATATTTCAGAAAAAAACATCGTATAAACTCAGCACTCCTGGGTCCAAAGATGGGGGGCGTATATGGTAATATTGTTTTACCTGTGAAGAGGAGATTGAGATGGTTAAGCAGGATCTTTATTTCCATATTCGGGACATCCTCACACATCTGGATAATTCCTGGAGATGTAACATCTCATTTGCAAGTCCCGCTTATGTGTCCATATAAAGCCCGTTTGTCAATCCACTGCTGGATGACGGGCTGGCGTGTGGGTTTGATTGGCAGTACTTAACCACACTGGTCAGTGCAGGTTGGTGAAGACGAGAAGCGTATATATGTGAGAGCATAGACGTACATGACAGTACAACTATGTTCCTTTCTCCATTCCCCTCGGCTGCCCACAACGTAGCCCCAGATCCGATGCAAGGTGGAGACCCATCCAAGCACTACCCAGGCTCACACCTGCTTAGCTCCTGAGAGCTAACACGAATTGAGCACATGTTTGTAAGCAAGAGTAACTTTAATTCCTCTTGGCTCCCACGGCTTAGAAGTGCCCTCCTGAATTCTCAAGAAGTGGGAGGTAAAGTGTAAAGGGCTCTCAGGTTTGTGCTGATCGGCATTCAAGTGGCTTAACTCGCCTTCCCTTGTGGCATTGCAGCACCAGGATTGTTTTTTGTAATGTCATTCACGAAACACGAAGACATTTTGCCAGCACACGCTCATTTGCATCCATTATTGTAGCTGTAACAAAGGGCCCTTTAGATTAATTTAAATTTGGTGTTGTGTACTTACTCAAGTATTGTATTCATTATATTTAAATGTTGATGCATTTCTAAATGTGGGTTAAGCTTCTTTTTATAAGGAGAATAAATCAATGTTTTGGACAATCCTGACAGCGGAAAAAAACTTCGGAAAGTAATGTTGCACATTCCTGGGTAATGTGCCTGCCTAGCAAGAAAGAACGGGGTCAGCGTTCACAAGCCTCTGCGCTGGAGTCAGCAAACTGTCAGTAAACCATCTCAAGTTCTTTCTTTTACTTCAAACATTTCCCAGAGGAGTCCATGGAAAATAAATTCCAATATTTCAAGGAAAACATCAAATGACACCAAATTAGCCAGGTTTCATGAAACACAATGTAGTTTCCTTTAACCAAATAAATATACATTAAGGACATTTTGTTCATTTAAATTGTGTTTATGCAACCCGACCTAGATTCTCTTCAGGACAAAAAAGGTGTCTACACATACACTCATAAAATGATGCTGACATTGATTCTGATTGTGATGATGATGATGATGACTAGAGGTGGAACGATGCATTGGTTATCATTGATTAATACGCTAATGATGCATGCATACAATTGTGTGCAAGTATTGATATTTTTGCAGTTTGTATGTGTTGAACGCATTTTGGTTAAAAGTGACGCTGCAGCCATTAGAGGCGATACCGTTCCCCACAAGGAAATCTATTCTTGGGTTGACCCGTGAACTTGAATCTCGAAAAATCATGTAAACATCGGAGACAGTGGAGGATGAATCGTTCCATCCCTAATGACGACCATGACAATGACTATGATGATGATGATAGGGTTGCCACAACTGAAGTACACAAAATGGGAGCATATCATAGACCTAACAATATCTCACAATACCGGAACGTTGTATCATTACGCAACTGACAAAAACCAGAAACGTTTAACTGCCCGGGACAAAATTACAGGTTTCCTCGCACAGCAGCGACAATACAACAAGAGGACAATCTTGAGCAAAACACAAACAGGTGACAACCCACGCCGCCGACGATGACGACGAAGACCAGAACTGACGCCGGACGATGTCGCCCTGCCGCCCCGCAGATCCGAGGTTCTCTGAAGAGCTGGACCAAGCTGTGGTGCGAGCTCAAGCCCGGCGTGCTGCTGCTGTACAAGAGCTCCAAGCACGGCCAGTGGGTGGGCACCGTGCTCCTCAATGTGTGCCAGATCATCGAGAGGCCCTCCAAGAAGGACGGCTTCTGCTTCAAGCTCTTCCATCCCCTGGACCAGTCCATCTGGGCCATCAAGGTGCGGATATTCATAGGGGCTTGTCTTGTTCATTCTCTCACCTGACGTACCACGTGCAAGTGTACGGCCCGTAAAAGATAAATTCACCACACGTTCAGGAGATCCAGTAGTCGTCATGTGGCCCCACTGGCTGAAGGTGGATGCAGGCCGCTGATGAGCGTGTACCTGTACGGCCCCTTTGTCGATGCCGAATGAGGGCCTCCGCACGCCATGCAGGTCGTGGCCGTTCGTCGACCATACTATTGGCACACTCGTCAGCGTGTGGGTTCCTGTAATGTGTAAAGCACGTACCGATACTTGCCGCATGCATCGCAGTCTATGTAACCGTGATTGTAACGAAGACCTGCGCTGTATGACATCTGTACCGTCGTAAGGCACCCATGAAATATAGCCCAAGCGCTTATTAGGCTCTTCCTGCTAAAATAAATAAAAGAAACACGTTGGGGGCCATCCATTGAGTAGGTACGCAAAAATCTGTCAAAACTTGACCCCCCCTCCCTCCCTGTATGCACGTGAAATTTTTACACCCCCCCCCCACCTGCGTACGTTCGCCTGACGCACACCCCCGCCCCCCCCCCCCCCCCCGAATCCTATAGAACGGCCGATATTTAATCCACGCAGAAACGATCCTGGATTAATAATATTAACGTGTTAAAGCAAACAGATCGTCCACCGCCGGCTGCATGATTATTATCGAGGCTTCACCCCCCCCCCCCCCCCCACGTTTCCTATGCGTACGTAACATTGTCAGTAGACCCCCCATACGCAAGCGTACGCATTTGGGTTAACCCCCCTCCATGCGTACGTACTAAATGTACGGCCCCTTGCGGTGCGCAGGCTACGGTGATGTATTCTACGTTCCAAAGTTTGGGTTGCATGGCCACATTCGCACTCCTGTTGCTTTCGTCTTTAACTTTCCATCGATGAAGGGGACGTGCTGCATCGGCCTGTTGATCTTCCGATGTGGCTGATGGTCACACCACCGGTGTTTTCGAGGCATGTCAAAGCCAGAAGGTGCAACGTTTTGGGTTCGAATGATGCGTTCAGGAATGGCTCGTGGTGCGTGCTTGCTAAACATCATGTATGCAGCGCATATGCATATTTATCTCTTCATTTATTTAACTCCTGCACGTAGACATAGTTCATTGCAGCTTACACAAGTGCACTTTATTGAATAATTGATTTTTGTCTGAAAATAGCTTTCATCCCCACAATGGAACAGTGCATAGTGCATTTATAAACACAACCTGAACAAAAACGAACGGCAGACAAGTCAACTCCTTTTTTCACAACCAATGCTTGGGAGGCCCTTGAAACATTCATTTGCTCTCTTTTCATAGATCCTTTTGTGTCTGAGATCCTACATAATGCGCCCATCACTAAATCACCCAGAGGGCAGCCGTCTTTAAGGCTGAGCGGCGATGAGCATGGACAGAGCTTTGGTCGGAGATTCAAACTACAACCAGGAGCTGCTACGGCTTGCAGAGTTACGTGGTTGGCAACAGAGGGCGGTGCAGCAATATCGATTGTTGTACTGTGCTACGCTCTCATGTATACACTCTCAGCCGTAACAAAGCCGTGTTGACCAGCAGGGTAAATTGTGGTCAAATGGCCATCACGACCCGCACGGTGTGTGGAGGCCCTCAACCGGCGGCAGTGGACTGACAAAAATAAAAATGGTAGCTTGTGTTAGTTACAGGTACGCAATTGCTGCTGGTGTTGACTGTGCGATTACTTCTCGCCAGGGCCCGGAAGGAGAGACGGTGGGAGCTTTAACGCAGCCCTTCCCCAGCAGCTACCTGATCATACGGGCCACCTCGGAGTCTGACGGTGCGTATATCTCGACGGACAATCAGCCGTCGGGACAAGAGTTCGAACAGCAAAACGGGCTGGAAAGCATGGGCGGTGCATGAAACCCGTCTTTAATGAATCATCGAAGAGCTTGGAGCACCAGATTGGGTTAAAAGATGACGTCACCGTGCTGCTCTATTTTAGACCGGGAGCAAGTGGAGGGCTTCAACATTCTGGCAAAATTTCCCGATAATGCTGGATGTAATTAGCAGCGAAACGTTGTACTCAAAATTTTCAATGATGTTGATTCGCTCTTCAACACACCAGTGGGCTAAAGTAGTGAACTATTTGTCCTTTGTAAACGTGACACATGTTCTACTGTTTGGCCATGTCGGGTGGTGGAGGATTAAGACACATTTATAAATAACGCGATTTAACACAAAAATCTTTATTATGAATGAATTGTAAAATGGGTTCTGCCAAGTGCTCTGCTCGTGGTGACCTTGTGGCCTCTCGCCGAGTTCGGCTTGAGTAGCTTTTACTCTACACGGTCTGCTTGAGTGGGAGCCGGTAGACAGATTTTCTAAACTAAACTATTTATATTTTTCCAGGAAAGGCCCACTGAGTATATAGTTATTTTTCAGAAGCGACCTGGCTACAACTGATAGCTCAACGAAGTGGCTTATCACGTGGAGATTTATAGCAGCCAAATACTCCAAACGCGTGTTTATTCTCAATGTAGAGGGAAAAACCGGAATATAGAGCCATCAAGGGTCCGGATCGAACCCTCGACCTCCTGCATACGAGGCAAGGAAGTTACCATCTTAGCCCAAGCCACCCTCTGCCGTGCGTGGCAGTGTCAGAACGTGTTTCCCAATTGCATTTGTGAACACTTGAAAAACAAGTGTGGAAATGAACATTGGTGCTGTCCGGTCTCCTTTAAAACCTCAGCTCAATGCATCTACAACAATGGTGTCCTAAAATTGATATACAAATATTTTTTCTTTAAATGCGTCAAAGTGTTTCAGCCAAGTAGGCTGAGCAGGGTTTCGTGCGTGACAGCTGGCAGCGTCGTTCCGCGTCACGTAACAGTTGTTCAAATTGTATTCAAAAATTTTTTTTCTTTCGCGTGGTATTTTCTTTTTTACAGTTCCATCTGCGTTGTGTCTGTTGCGTTCTGTCACCTTCGCAGGTTGGCTTACATGTACCATTGGCATATCATTCTGTATATAATTTGCCAAAGTCATTAATACATTAATTATCCTCATACACGTTATCCAATGTGTGTATAGTCAGTGTGGGAATCCGTTTTGAATCATTTGATGCATCATTACATAGTTAGTTGCTATACACAAACCAAAAATCTTGAATCATTCATGATTTTTTTTCTTTTTCAAATGTGTGTATATTAATTACAATACCACACATACAGGTGTTTTTCAGAATGATTCTTTACACAAATTCTCTGGTGGCTGAAAGGAATGTATCTGTCAACTTCGTGAAGACTGGCTCAGCATTGCAAGCCACAGATCTTTCAGCTATTTAGATACCCAATTCGGGTTGCCACCTCTGAGCTAAATAAAAAAAGCATGAACATGTCATGGGACGAATATCTCACAACACTGGAAGAGGAGTGAGTGGCTCACTATTACGTCACGGGGAAGACTTAGGATATTTCCCAGGGTGGTCACCTCAACCAGACGGCAATCCTGGGAAAACCAGGACAAGTGTTGTTAACCCTACACCGAACCCAACTCTCTGTGAACCGATGCTTGGCCCATGTTCCTGAATGCTACGGGCACTGTTTGGCTCATTAGGGCATCGCTGGAGAGCACTGGCGGAGCCAGTGGGGGGGTGGCACGTGCCCCCCCAATGATCCAATCGAAAACCCTAATTTCGATCGGATTATTGGGATTTATTAGTAATAAATCTGAATTTTGCGACCCCCACTGCCACTGTGTAGCATATTATTATGCACCAGGGACTCTATGAGATGATAGGACAACAGTCTGAGTCCATAATTGGCAATAAGTAACGGCAAAGCAGTTATAAGTGACTCACAGAATTGTGCGCAGTTGCATATACAGTACACGACTTCCCTGAAAGCATTCACCTTCAGCGAGCGCGATGCCGATCACACAACGCGGTTCGAATTCGACCCTCGATTGATGGCTGCGCCATCGTTGCACACGCGTCGAATAAAAAGCAAGGGACAAGTCCTTCTTTTTGGTTCTTTCGGTAAAGTCACGTAGAAGGGAAGTAATAAAATAATAAAAGTAAAACGTAATAAAATAATTCTCACGACGTTTCGGCCACAACGCAAGCAGCCGTCTTCAGGTGAAAACCAGGTCTGTCGGGGAGACAGCGTCTGAATGAAACAGCACACGAGCTTGGAGCATATTTATAAGCTGGGTTTGAAGGGGGGGAAAGGGCGCTTCGACAAAAAGAATTTGCATATCAAGAGGAATTTAGCATATTTATGGCAAATGCAGGAATGTGATTAGTACTGCATATGCATGTGCATTATGCAGGACTAGCAGCATCAAAGGGAGGGGATATGGGAAATGCAGGTATGTGAATAGTACTACTTATGCCCGTGCATTATGCAGGAATAGGACAAGTCCTTACTAACATCTCCTGTCATTTTTCATTGCTGGAGGGGTTGCCCCCCCCCCCCCCCCCCACCTGAAAATCCTAGCTCCGCCATTGCTGGAGAGTGCACAGTGCAACTGCCTGTTGAAATAACGAGCACAAATCTTTCATGGCTGAGCCGTACACACGGTCGGCAGAGAAGTGTTAAACTCGAGCCTACAAATCCGCCAAGGTTGACATGTACACACAGGGCGGAGGAGCGTATGCTTGAAGCCAAGCACATTAAGGCACATCACCATACAAGCAGTCCATCATATTAAAGCGGTTCCTAAGTGATGTTTCCTCTGGTCACCCATTAAAAAAGGTCCCCTGTACCAAGTCGAGACGTATTGGCTTAAGTCGCTCAGCCAGCAAATGGACTATGGTGTTATGCGGTCAGCATTGCCATGCCAACTGCTGCCTCTCTGTCTCACAGAACCTGCCGTTAAGTTGTGATGTTCTCTTCATGATAAATCGGAGATGGCGGCTTCGATGCTCTCTTGGGGCTGAGTGAAATGCATCTATGGATGGCTTCAAATTGTCTCTTAAGTAAAAAATGAAAGTGCTATCAGTGGGCCGCAGACACAGTTGAACCCAATCACCCCGTATCGAAAGCTCTGTTGATGGCAATCTTTTGATTCCATCCAATACTTTGAAAAGCTTGGGAATTACTATGGATTTAAAACTGTGTTTTGCCACCCACATTCTCCGTTATAAAGGCCTAATTTTATCACTTGAGAAGAATTGCCAAAGTGAGATCCATTCCCTCCGATAACGATGCTGGGGTGTTGGTTTTTGTAATTTCTCAGCTTGATTACTCGAATGCTTTGCTGACCTTTCCGATTACGAACACAGTGGCTCCAACTGCTTCAAAATGCTACAGACGCAGTGCTCATCGCATACTGCATTCACAGCATCAGCACCACCTCTGAAATCACTGCACTGGCTTGCTCTCAATTTCAGGACCGACATTAAAAATTCTGCTAACTACTTACAAGGCTCTTCGTGGTCTCGGGCCTTCATATTTCCAGGATGTCCTGCAGGTCGCCTGCATCGAGATCAATGAACGCTGAATTATTTGGTAGTTCCGGGAAGTTGTCATCTAAAATTTGGAGGGGGCAAGGGCATTTTGTTCCGATGCTCCCTGCCTCTGGAACGCTTATTTCAAGTCATATCAGAAATTCTGGCACAACCACGTATTATTTTATACCTACGTGACTTTACCGAAAGATCCAAAGAGTACAACCAAATATGTGGAAATCAAATTTTAAAACAATATTGGTTTGAGTTAGCTTTTTATTTTAATTGGATTGATCGACCAATTGATTTATTTATTATTTATTTTATTGTAAAGTGCTGTAGGATGCTCTTCTTGAAGAAAGATATATAAAAGGAAAATGTTGCATCGTGATATTGTATCAGTATTTCTCAATCTCCCACCACTGTCACAATTAAATTTATTTTGTAATTATATTCCATTTGTGCTACGAAGCATCGTATATCATGAGAAAAATAAAATTTCGATTTAAAGCTTTCGTGACTGCAGGGATTCATCTTCTTGGTTCTTTCGGTAAAGCCACGTAGAAGGGAAGTAATACAATAATAAAAATAAAACATAATAAAATAATTCTCACGACGTTTTGGCCACAACGCAAGCAGCCATCCTCAGGTGAAAACCAGGTCTGTCGAGGCGACAGCGTCATTCGTGACTTTACTGAAAGAACCAAGAAGATGAGAAAAATTAATTACGTGAAGCTTTCGCACAGCAGCCCTTCACCCCATCTGCTACAGAACAATCCAAGGAAGCAGATTTCCACGTAACTTCTTCTGCGGCCCCTTCAAGCGATTTGGTTAACCCCACACACTCGGGCTGCATTCTCACACACACGTCCCGCCACAGAGAGATCTTCATCCCACAACAATCAAATTGATAGTCTTAATTCTCAAGATATGGAATTTAGGCAAATTTAGTGACAACCCAAATGAAATGGGATGGGTGGGTTTTTTTGTTTTTTATTTTCTACTCGGTCATTGCGGACCAGACAAAGATTATTGACTCTCACTACACTTGACAACTCAATTTAACAAGGGGTATCTGAAACCCAAACTCAAACTCAGGTTCTCAGCAATACCGGCTCAGCGTTTTGACCTCTGGACCAGCTGTCCAGGGGCACATCCACAAATGTGAAAGTTGAGGCTGTCATAGCAGAAAATAATTCCCAGTGGCGATTTGCCACACGTCGGAGTTCTGCTGAAGCACCATTTTTTAAAATTTCCCCAACTACTCGCTCCTGACTAAGTACTGAGCCTGCTGTTCTTCGGCCGCTGTGTATTTAAAGGTTCGACCGTCAGCGTAATCAGCTTTTATGTCACTTTGTTGAAATGTGAAAGGTGCAGCATTAAGAATAACACGATTCCCGTTCAAAACCTTGTGGGTGTCTCTTAGCCACTTTTAGTCCACGAGCCCAGACAAGATATTAACTTTTCGATTCCACCTCAAGATGGCATCACATTCGTGGTTCCAATTTCTTTTCTGGCAGTGGACTGTGATAACCATTTGAAATGCGTGTGTTATCAAGCTATCCACTATTCTAGATTTGAAGCTTTCGTTACTGCAAGGATTCATATTCTTAGGTTTTTTCGGTAAAGTCACGTAGGTAAAAAATTAAAATTAATAAAAGTAAAATAAAATAAATTTATTTTATTATTATTTTTACTTTTATTAATTTCCATTTTAATTTTTTACCTACGTGACTTTACCGAAAAAACCTAAGAATATCAATCCACTATTATTAGCCATTGCGGTACTTGTACTGGAGTTTTGCTACCTTAGGCCGTCCCAATTTCTGCTCTGGCCCTTGGACTATATCGACACATGTCGGGACATCGGTGAAAAAAGAGCTCTGGAGCTCATCGAATTCCTCCAGTGTAAATACATATTCTGAGTGGTTGGCCACCCTCGCCGCCCCCCACCACACCCGCTGCTCTATGGCGGTTGGTCACGGCCAGCGGTGGCTACGAACGCGGCCCGTAATCCAGCAATGTGGAGGCAGGTGTCAGTTGCTGGATCACCGCACAATCGTTGTGAAAATCCATTCCCCGCGTGCGCCGTGCGGGTACCATGCCTGGGCTCGCCAGGAGAAGGCATTCCAGCAAAGCTTGAACTTTACTTCCCACCTGTTCCATCTGTACAAGACGTAACATTACTCCGGGTGCTCCGGTTTCTTCCGACATGTAGAATCTCATCTTCTTGGTTCTTTCGGTAAAGTCAAGTGGAAGGGAAATAATAAAATGATAAAAATATTAAACAATACAAATTCTCACGAAATTCCGACTGCAACACAAGCAATCACCATCAGGTGTGAAATCCAAAAATCTAATTTTGTGTTGCAATTTTTATTCTTTTATTGTTTCCCTTCTACCTGACTTTACCGAAAGAACCAAGAATATGAATCCCTGCAGTCACGAAAGCTTTAAATCAAAATGTATAATCTCATTAATTGGCAGATAACACCTCAATATGTAGAGGACTGCAGAGCTTGGGCGAGGTGTAGGGTGTGGCAAGGGAAATTGGCATCGGCTCACCGCCCGTCTGTCTTTCCCGCTCAGTCCGCTTGTAGGCCGCTGCTGGATGGACGCGCTGGAGCTGGCGCTGCGCTGCTCCAGTCTGCTCAAGCGCACGATGGCGCGGGAAGGCAAGGACGTGGAGAAGGTCGTACAGGCCGACGGCACCCTGCTGGGGCTGCTCCGCACTGGGACGCTGCACGACGGCTCGCAGTACGACCCCCACTTTTGAGACGCGGCATGGCGCGGCATGCCGTATGTATGCACCATATGTTTCGCGCCGTACGTAGCCAACCGTGCTAATCGGAGGTGCGGGGGAAGGACAACAAACTAAACGCAAACTAATGTAATTCCAAACGTGCCTCTCTCCATGCTTCTTTGCACAATTCGTGTTTTTGTTCCGTTTTTTTTTTGCTAATGACCGTGTTTCTAAATGATACGTCATAGCAGGCAGTGATTAATACATTTTCCCCCCGGGTACAATGGGTACGTTACTTTTCACTATCAGCTTCAGCTTTCCAGAAGCACTCCAACCTGCGCTAGTCTGCCTCTTTTATTTCCCCATTTTGATATCGAGTCTGCCTTCAGTAGCCATCCAAGGTAGCAAATAATTCTGCTGTGTGTATGTTGAACTTCTTTCGCACCGTACATAGCCAACTGTGCCAATCGGAGGTCCGGGGGGAAGGGCAGCAAGCTAAACACAAAGAGCAGTTCTAAAGAAATGAGGTATCAATCTTGATGATTTAAAAGTGAATAGCTCCAGTGGCTTCCTAATATCGGAAGGAAGAGCGTTCCAGACAGCTGGGAAAGCACATCCGACCGCAACATCCGTTGATCCATTCTCTCCGCTCTATTTGCATTCACAGTCATTGTGCGATTACCGCGGTTTGCAAACTGTCCACAGATTAACAGAAAATAACTTTACGGTTAATCTACTGCTGTATGAAGGCCACCTACGATGAGCACGGTTGGCTACGTGCGGTGCGAAAGAAGTTCAAGTCCCACCCCACACTGTGTCGTCGCTCACGGGGGTTGTTTGACTGTGACGTATTCAAGCACGCCGATTCGTGCAGGTTGCTCAACGAGGGTACAGCACTGGCTCAGATATCGCTCACCAACGATGTTGGCCGTGGCGAGGGATCGAACTTAGATCAACAGTTTCATACCGCGGTGAACTAACCGCGACGCTATTACTCGGGCCCGTTTTAAAATGGTGACAGTCCCCACATCCTGCCTGCCAAAGGCAGTAAGCCCACTACAGGCCACACGCGGTGTGGCACGGCCATTGACGACGACGACGACGTCACCAAGCCCCCCGTCTCACCATCTCCCGTCCAGCGGCACATGCAGGAAGTTAACAGTCGGTACAGTAATCGATGACTTAATAGCCCGGCTCGAGTGGAACACCACTGCAGATGTATGCACGTTGAACTTCTCTCGCACCGTAAGTAGCCAACCGTGCCATGATACACTATCAGCTGCCGTGGGATTCTGACACAACTACGGGAATGGCGACGTGGCCGAGCGGTCGTGCGACTGCCGCTCGTTACGAGGGCTTCATCGTCCCAAGTCACCGTGTCGCGCCAACCCCGGCAATGCCCTCCCCCCCCCCCATCCTCCCGCCTCGCCTGCCCTCCCTCCCCTGTACTGGGCTTGGCCAGGACACATGAGAGCGAGGCGACGCAGACGCACCTCACGGACGCGGAGGGGGTGTCCGACAGGTCGGACAGCGACGGGGACGAGGGCGCGCACAGCGAAGACAGCGACTCGGACACGTCGGAGAGAGCCGATGACAGCATCAGGGGCAGCGGGCGGCTCAAGGAGACCACGTACTGCCAGCAGACCGACGAAGAGCTGGGCCAGGTGAGCCTCCAGAGATGGCGGCAGCTCTCCTGGTGTTTTTTTCCTCTTCCCCCCCCGCACCCGCACCCCCCCCGATAATTGTGCTCTTGTTGAGGTGGCTGTCTTGGGAAATGTGTGAGTCGTCACGGGACACTAAAATATAAAGTTTTCTGTCAGTGGCGTAATAATACTTGCCGTTGCCTCCTCTTCTCGCATTGTGTTGTGCTACGAAGAATGGCCACTTCTCAAAACGTTGCTAATTATGTATTTTTTGTTACTTTTTCAAGGCCACAGTGTGATTGACGAGCGCCTTGTTATCTGCATGTATGCATGTTGAACTTTTTGCGCACCGCACGTAGCCAACCCTGCCAATCGGAGGTGTGCGGAATTTGTGCTCGCGCACCACTGCCAACGCAGCAGCAGCAGCATCACCGAATAATGATGATGATGATGCCCGGTGGTCAATTCTCGGTCCGTGACGACGCGGCAAATGCTTTGCGGTCCCGCGCAGGTGGGGGAACTGTCGCAGATGGAGGAGGTGTCGGAGGAGCACAAGGGTCTCATCTGGGGTCTCATCAAGCAGCTGCGGCCAGGCATGGACCTGTCGCGCGTGGTGTTGCCCACCTTCGTGCTGGAGCCGAGGTCTTTTCTGGACAAGCTCTCCGACTACTACTACCACGCCGACCTGCTCTCGCAGTGAGCCGCCCGACTCGACGACCCAGGCCAATCCCTTGCGCGCATACACCAAATGCTCGCGGAAGTCCGGCACCGTCCCTTTCGTTGTCCCTTTGTGCCGTGTCGTTGCTCCGGAGACCGGGAGATCGACGGTCGACGTTCGGTCGTCGCATTGGCGCCGTTCGTCGTGATTTCTCACTGAACAGAGTGGGCCGCGTGAAGGCTGCCATCATCCACAGCGAAACACTCTCCGCTGCTCCTGACGCGGCTATCTGGCTTGACCACCTGGGTGTGAAATTGTAGTCGTTGCTCTGCATCTACATCAGCCGCACAAAAGAAAGAGAAGATTGTCCCTTTCTCCACCGGCACATCCGAGCCGCGCTGGCGAAGGGCCCTCGCGGTAAGGAAGGGTGATTTTCCACTGGCTATTAGGCATGCCAAGCCAGAACCAAACTTCGATATACGCTGGCCTGACAAAAAACATTTGAATCGACCTCGGGACCAATCAGGGCCAAGGGGCGGGACTAATGACGCAATCATTGCATGTGACGTCAGTCAGTACACTGTGAGGACACGGTGTCGCCGCGTCGTCGATATGACGTCACGCATCACGTGTGATGCCAGCGGGGCATGGCTTGGCTTCTGCAGTGGGAAAAGCAACCTACTCCTCCTGACCCGCGACGGCCTAGCTTCATACAGCCCTGGCATGGCTTGGATGTGCCAGTGGAAAAGGGGTACAAGACTCCTGGGAACCAGGCTCTGCCAGCCCAGGAACATCCCAGCTCTGGCCGCAGAAACAGCAGCAGGGTCCAGATCCCCCGATTAGCACGGTTGACTATGTATGGTGCGATAGAAGTTCAACGTACATATATTCATACAGATCCATATCCCTGTGCTCCATGAAGCATGGTACGCCATGGGATCACCCCCTCCCCTATGTCCCACCCATCCCCGCACAACAACTCCCACTCTGCCAGGCATGTAACAATGCTGCGAATCACGACACGTGTACAGAACCCTAAGCATGGGATCGGGTTGCACGAGCTTGGCTTGGCAATTGAAAAACAAAGGATGCAGGTGGCATCTCAAATTTTATCTCATTAAGGCCACTCCCATAGCCTGTGACCTGCGTAAGAAGCCAAAGTAGAGAGGGGCTGTGGATGCAGCCATGAGCAAGCAGAGCGATCAATGGCCAAAGACCTTCAGTAGCTGGGCATCACTTGGTAAAGGCCACATCGATGATGGATGACTGGACACCGATGGCGACGTTTGTGCGCAACGCAGGTTGGCAACCGGGCTGAATGCAATCGGCGTCACTTTTAAAGATAAATTGCAGCACAGATCTCTAACCCTGCCTTTTGGGGGTGGGGTGGTCATGGCTGCAAGCTTTGGATTCGTTTAGCCTGGGATAACTGCCCTTGAAATGGGAACTGCCCAGTAAACATGGAACGTTAAGCCAATGTTGGTACATCGGCTTCAAGCACATGCCAATGAATTTTGATTTAAAGCTTTCGTGACTGCAGGGATTCATATTCTTGGTTCTTTCGGTAAAGTCACGTAGAAGGGAAATAAAATAATATAAAACAATAAAAATTGTCAAAATTTGTGAGAATTTTTTATAATATAAAACAATAAAAATTCTCAAAATTTGTGAGCATATATTTTTAAATATTATTTTATTTCCCTTCTACGTGACTTTACCGAAAGAACCAAGAATACACATGCCAATGGTGGCTCGATGTTGCATGTTTACTGGATATTAGATCCAGCTCGGTACGAGTACCGAGCCAGCTCGCTCACTCGTGGCCATGGGGATGCGGCCTCCGCGGCTTTGCGCGATTCAGTTTAGACGTTTACAGCGGTGCGGGTTGTTTTGTTTCACCAGAGCGGCATTGGAGGAGAATGCCTACGGCCGCATGAAACAGGTGGTACAGTGGTATCTCTCCGGCTTCTACAAAAAACCACAGGTACTCGAGAAGAGGCCCACCATGAAAATGTTGCGGCGCATGTCAAACGAAATCTATCACGAAAAGTTATATTTTCGATCAGATGTATAAAAAAAAAAATAAGTGTTGCAAGCGCGATTCAAGACGGCATGTTTACTTCAGACGAAAAACAGCAGCTATGCTCATCTTTTTGAGTTGTTCCCAAGCCAATAACGTGAATTCCACATTTTCATAGCAGGGCTCCTGTCTCTCCGTAAGATGTAAAATTAGACAAAGGGATACAGAGATTACATTTAGTATAGTGCACGCTCATGTCACTAAGAGCCAATTTAAACCGGAAGATCCTTATTTCAAGGGAGACATCTACCAAAATATGTACTGCGAAAGAGCAATTTAAATCTGTAAACAAAACACAATCAGAACCTTATGAAACAATTAGGAAGAAAAAAGTTACCATATTAAACTTATTCGCTTGAATCAAATTACGTAATATTAACTACCGAACAAAAATATTAATTTTTTTTTACATATAAATCGATAATTGAGATATATATATACACCACAAGCAGTCAATTGTTGTCTTGACTGCTCCGAGACTTGCTCTACCACACACACACACTAAGTCACCCTAATGAGACAGACTCATATTAGGCTACCGCAAACACTGTTGTGCTCGATAAAGCTGCAGTCCATCAACATGTCACCCTGCTGTGCGGAGTCCGCACCAAGGGAATGCTGAATTGTGGCGTTTCCTCTATTTTAAAGGGACCAAAGAAGCCTTACAACCCAATTCTTGGAGAAACGTTCCGATGCATGTGGTACCATCCCTCTACCGACAGCAAGACCTACTACATCGCTGAGCAGGTATCATTGTTTATCCACTTATGGACGAGTGCCTCCTCACGACGTCACCATCCTTCATCGTCGCCTGATGCCACGTTACATCTCACTTCACATCAGCTGGTCTCGTAACCTCATCACTTTGACGGTCACCCCCTTGTGCGCATGTTCTCTCCTTTGGCCGCAATTTGCATCAATTGGCCAGCGTGCCTTCTATAAGGCTCCGAGGTTGCGAGGTGTTAACTACCTCACCTGGTATACAGGAGGCTGTTGGTTCGATCCCGTTCCCGACACCTACATTTGGAGTTTGCATGTTCTCCCCGTGGTCGCGTGCATTTTTCGCCGGGTTCTCCGGTTTTCCCTCTACATTTAGAAACATACATTTAGAGTATTTGCCTGCAATACATTTCCATGTGATAAGCCACTTCGTTGGCCTATCATTTGTGGCCAGGTCGCTTCTGAAGATCTATATATAGCTCAGCGGGCCTTACCTGGTTTTAGCGTAGTTTTAAGTCAGCTCCACACTAAATATGTCTGTGAGTTGTGTTTTGTTCCCTGATCCATGTGTTGCTCTGTCTCTGCAATTCCAAACCTGCATCTCCCCCATGCATATTTAACAGCTGTTGTTCCCTCTGAATAATAATATTTTGTCTAGTGTCCGTGTTTGATCATGGACACGGTAAATAATAAGCAGTTAGTGCGAGCGGAAATTCGCACTTAATCATTTAAACTCTATTGATCCTCACTTTAATCATTATATAATCACAAGAGTGCTTATGACCTATGAATAGCTAACCCATATAACTAATCGCAAAATTTGTATAATGTCCTGTCATGGTGGATTGTGGGTAATTAAATATTAATTAAATAACATGTTTTGGTCTACCAGCCTATGAGTCTCCATTGGACCAATGTTAACTCGAATGGGTACTGGCTTAGTGACCAAAATGTTATTTCAGTATTGCATGATCAACACATCCTTGCTGATTGTTATTTTAAACTTAACAGTGATAAACACACATAGATATCACCGTCTCAAAACTGTAATGCTGTCCTAATACACTCTGCCTGTCTGAACGTACGTGCTGTGAAGAAGTGATATTGCCCGAAATGCCGCCTTTGAAATGCTGTTTTTCTTTTTAAGGCCACAGTGTCTTTGACGAATGTGTCGAGTTGTTTTTAAATCCTTCATATTAAGTTCACTTGCTTGCTTGCTTGCGCGCTTACGACTGTGCAAATCTTTCGGTCGTTTTTAACCCACTTTCCGTGATCCAATCGAGCTGACATTTTGCACACAGACTCGTTGTGCCTGACAATTTATTTTCGTGAAAATTTTTTTCCCAAATCTTACACTTGTTAGGAATTTTTTTTTTATTTAATTACCAATTGCTTAATGGTGGCAGGCAATCATCTGACCCATAGGTGGCAGCCATCTCAAGCCAGAGGACGAGAGGACTCTAGCCGCCACGCATATAAAGGATTTATAGTGAAAAACTTTGTTTTTACGGGTTAATTTTTTATATTTCATATAAATGCTGTAATTGATCTCCTCCATCCAAAACGGGGCCAGTGCCTGCACGACTCACGTGCCTACCTCCGCACACCCCCAGGGTGTACGTCTAATGCGCGTGCGATGAACGGCATTGGGATGTATAATGGGGAGGGTGTCCTTGAGAAGAGTTGACAATGCACGAATTTAGCCGGCTTTTGATTGCGCGGATGGAGACGGTGAATTGTCATGCTCCCTCTGTATTTTTCTGTTGCGCCTAGTCACTTTAAGATACTCCACTCTTTGGTTCTTCCGGTAAAAGTCACGTAGTTTGAAATAAAATAAAAACAAATCACGACGTTTCTATTGCAACACAAGCAATCATCATCAGGTGGGAAACCACAGCAAGAATTTTTTTTTTTGCTGAAGTAGGAGAGAGATGCTGTGGTAAGAGGTTATATAGGTAAGAGAGGGGGGAGGGGCAAGGGGGGAGAGAGAGGGGGGGTAGGGGGAGGGGAGCGCTGAGTGGACGCTAGGAGAGGGACGTGAAGCTGGAGGGGGGGAGTGGGCGGGGCTGGAAGTGAAAGGCACAGAGAGCTGGGGGGATGGGGGGTATGCGGGGGGAGAGTTAACTCGGAAACAAGGGCGGTGCACGAGTGCCAATGCAGCAACAATGCCAATGCAGCAACAATGCCAATGCAGCAGCAATGTCAATGCAGCAACAATGCCAATGCAGCAACAATGCCAATGCAGCAACAATGCCAATGCAGCAGCAACGCCAATGCAGCAACAATGCCAATGCAGCAACAATGCCAATGCAGCAACAATGCCAATGCAGCAACAACGCCAATGCAGCAACAATGCCAATGCAGCAACAATGCCAATGCAGCAACAACGCCAATGCAGCAACAACGCCAATGCAGCAACAATGCCAATGCAGCAACAATGCCAATGCAGCAACAATGCCAATGAAGCAACAATGCCAATGCAGCAACAATGCCAATGCAGCAACAATGCCAATGAAGCAACAATGCCAATGCAGCAACAACGCCAATTCAGCAACAATGCCAATGCAGCAGCAATGCCAATGCAGCAACAATGCCAATGCAGCAACAATGCCAATGCAGCAGCAATGCCAAACGCTGGGGATGCGGGGGGAAATTAACTCGGAAAAATAGACTAGTACCCAGCAGATATGATTTAACAACCATAAACAGTTAAGGTTTTACCTGGTTAATAACATCCTTCCAATGATTGCTCAATTTGTATCCATCTTCTCGGTTGAGGTTATGTTTATATATCTTGTTGGCTTCATGAACAAACCTTTGATAGTAGCCCGAAGGTTTCCAGAGTACCTTGATCTCGGAAAAAAACAATATCATGCGAGCCCACAGCGTTATAGCAATGGTCAGCCACGGCAGAGGTATTGGTTCTGCCATGTTTGAAGATGTTGCTTGTTCATGTTTTTGTTTGTTGCGGTTGCACCCAATCCAAGAGCCGAATGGCTCACAGGGCTATACATAATCTGAACTGAACTGTGGCCATCTGCGGCGAGACGACGCAACAAAAGGCAACCAAGAGTGGATGACTTCCAATGAAGCTGCCGTGGATTTCGCTTTAGAAAATAAACACGTGCGGGTTGCCAACTATTTTTCCAAGGACTCTGCACAATTTTGACGTGGGTGAGGGCTCTCTGTTAGAAGGAACACTGGTTTCAATGATCGCGCCTTGGGTATTAGCGACGTAGCCCAAACAGATCTGTAATGACAAGTGCCGTTAGCGAGCAACTATGAAGGCCGGCACGGCACACAAGGGGGTGGGTGGCCAACACCGTGTTCGGCCGCCTTTGTCTCCCCAGTGCTGATGCTTACACACCACACCAGGCACTCACGAAAGGCTGAGTCAACCTAAAGGAGGCCCAGGACCGGCTCAGAAATTCGTCAGTTATGTTGGCCGTGAGCGGGAAACGAACTCAGGTCACCGGGTTCGTAGCTCAGCGCGCTAATCGCTACGCGACCGTTCGCACACACACACACCCACAACCACAACCGTCTCCATTGCCTTCTAGGTGTCTCATCATCCTCCCGTCTCGGCAATATACGTCAGCAACCGGAAGGATGGCTTCTGTATCAGCGCCACCGTGTTCGCCCGATCAAAGTTCTACGGTAAGGGCTCTCCCCTCGACGTTCGGTCGCGTGACAACGCAGCGCCAACGCGGCCGGCAGAGTCTGCCGCAACGAGCACTCGTCGACGCAACGTTTTGCAAACGGCGTGGCTGCTGCGACTGTGATAAGAGTTTGCCCAACTTCTTCCAGCTCCGAGAATGTTAAGATTTTGTCGCTCTTGACTGTCACGGGACAATTTCACAGCAGAGTGTGTGTGGGAAAGTGTGCACCCCTATGATGTAAAATATATATTTGGAAAACTCGTTGGTTCTTTCGGTAAAGTCACGTAGGTAGAAAAAATAATAGATCGCGACGCTTCGATCGCAACACAAGCAGCCATCTTCAGGTGAAATAGAGTCTTTGATCGCAAAATGAGTCTTTTTCACCTGACGACGGTTGCTTGTGTTTTTTTATTTAAAGCTTTCGTGACTGCAGGGATTCATATTCTTGGTTTTTTCGGTAAGTCACGTAGAAGGGAAATAATAAAATAATATTTATATTATGTTAATATTATTATATATTATTATATTATTTTATTATTTTCCTTCTACGTGACTTTACGGAAAGAACCAAGAATATGGTTGCTTGTGTTGCGATCGAAACGTCGTGATCTATTATTTTTTCTACCTACGTGACTTTACCAAATGAACCAAAGAGTATGGATTCCTGCAGTCACGAAAGCTTCAAATCAAGATTAATATATTGGTAAAATCACTTCACAGATCTCATGAGAGAGGTCCTGTGAAAAATCTATTCCGCAGATAATATCTGACAACATAGTGGTGCACTGCTTTGCCCGATTTGTTAATTCTCCTAACGACATAATATTGGAATAAATTGAGGATTTTAAAAATACCGAAAAAAAAGCTACACAAAAAATCAACAGCCAATGTCCGATGGACATACTCGCTCTTGGCCTAGAAATGTGTAATTTCTCTTTACTTCGCTCGGGGGCTGCAAAACGGGAGACGATCGCTGCCCGGTCGCTCGCTCTGCGTCTCTCCGACCTTTCGAACCCTCCCAGGAAACTCGCTGTCGGCGATCCTCGACGGCACGGTCCGCCTGAGCTTGCTGGAGCGAGGGGAGGAGTACGTCATCACCATGCCCTACGCCCACTGCAAAGGTGCCGCCACCAGCCGGGGCCCTCGCTCCTCGCAAGACCAACGCGCTCACACCGAGCGGGGAGTCGAACCCCTTTCGCCAAAGCTGGGCTCTCCGATTTATGCCATCGATTACGCTTGCCGATTATTACTCGGATAATCGGATACAAACTAATTGTTGGGGGAGGGGGCCGGAGGTTGGGGTGGGGGGGGTGCAGAAAAAAAGTCTCACCTCTGTTCCCGCGTGTGCCGCTGGACGGGAGGTGATGGGCGTGGATTGGTGACGTCACAGGCATCATCGGTTTACGTCACGCCGTTTGTGGTTTGTAAGGGACATCAGGGCGGCTAAGTTTTCAAAGGGGCGCGAGTAATCGATCACAGCAACAGTTGTCCACTACAATTATTCGTCAATTAATCGGCTTAACTCATCGTCCCAGCTGTCAATATCTCCGTGTCACAGCTGAGCTCCATCACCCCGCCACCCCTCCCCCCCCCCACCCTTTGCAGGCATTCTGTATGGGACCATGACACTGGAGCTTGGTGGAAAGATTGGAATTGAGTGCCAGAAGACCGGCTACAGCGCCAGCATTGAGTTCAAGCTCAGGGTAAATGCTAAAGCCAGCACACATCAATTCCTAAAGCTGTTGCATTAACACATGCATACTTCTAAATGCATAGCAATACACCGTGTCGTTCTTTACAAAAACAATTGCATAGTGCATGAGGATAGACGCTGGATCCGAAGTGTGCTTATAGCAGGAGAAGCCCTTTGCCTTCCACCTCACCTGTGCAATGTAACAATGCGTTGCTTTATATCAGAATTGTGCTAATATAAGGTGTGCCTACATCCACCTCCTATTGCGGCGATTACAATTGAACAGTCCTTTGGTCAATCCACGACTGGATCAAGGCCTCCCACCACATGACGTGTCGGCCATGGGGGCTGTTTGGCCATACTTCACCAAGCCCGTCGTGGTGTGGGTTGGTGAAGGGGTACGACCGGTTCGGATATCACTCGCCACTGATGGCAGTCGTGGCCGGGACTTGAACCGAGGTCGCAGAGTTCGTAGGGCACAAGCGCGCTGTTAACCCTTTCCCATTTAGAGACAACTGCAAGTTGCAGGGTGGGGTGTCCCGTTCGCCGCTGAATCTCGGAACGCGCAAGCGATTCGGCGCTAATTTTACTTAGAGAGGCGTAGCGCCGTTCCTTTTAAAAGACATTGAACTCACCGCAGAAGACTGTAGCGACGCAGAGAACTGGAGCGACACGGCCGCACTCTAAGATAGCTGGCGCCAAGCTGTGCCACGCGCTCTCCCGCATGGCCTTGTGGGAGCCTCGGTACGTCATCGGAACCATAAAAAAACTATTACGTACACATACGTCATCGAAAAGGGAAACAGTTATCGGAAGGGTTAAATGCTCCACTGCTTCCTCCCTGAAGTGTCCAATGAGATTACGAATGAAAAGCGCGTCTGTGTGCAATGGTAATTCACGTTTTATTTCCCTATTCACTAAAGGCACAGCTGCTGTATTATTCATAAGCGTGATACATATTTAATGGGGGGGTCCTACATAATGCAAGCGACAAGAAACAAAGGTGAGTTTAATAAAAACAAATGATCTGAAAACAATCCCACCTTCAGAAGAAACTATAGCGCTTGCTCAATTTCTTGCGATTGCTATGCACGCTCATTGTACTGTATAGAGGGAGATCCATTTATAGATGCCCCACTGACCTCTGGTGACCCTCTTGACCTCTCAACCGTTGATTGGGGTATTGTGAAAGCGATCGTCCTGTGTCGTAGAGGAGCGTTAAAAACATGTCACGAGTGTATTGATATATAGCACACACGGGGACTCCTCTACTTACAAACATTCGACTTACGTACGTTCAGAGATACGAACAAACCTGTCCGTATGTCCAGTTGCCTGTTCGGACCGAGAGTCGTAAGTTCAACCACCACGCAATAGATGGCGGTGGTGGCATCTACATCTGCAGAACATGAAGAATCAGTCGCATCTACATCTACAGGAGATTATTCAACTTTTAAAGCCATTCCTCGTGTTTAGTTTACACGCCGAACAACATGTTTGGAATCGACAGGAGTAAAGTTGGACTTACGGACAAATCGACTTACGAACAGACCTCTGGAAGCTAACTCGTTCGTAAGTAGAAGAATCCCTGTGTGATTTCTTCCTGTTTTATTATCGTCCGTACGTTTGTCTTCTTTTACTATTCATCGTAAGCGGCGACTCTTCTGTTTCTCTCGTGGGGGAATTTGAATATTTAGACGGCATTGTGGAGGCTTTGAATGTCGTTTCTCTCATTATTTCTCCCTGTTATTTGAGTGGAGCATCTATCAACGAATGACCCTGTGTAACTTGATAAATGTCAAAGGCTCAATAATTCAACATGATGACTCTGTACTCCCCCCCCCCCGTATCCGCTAGCCCCTGCTTGGTGGAAATGACTGCGTGAATCAGATTTCTGGAAAAATCCAACTCGGAAAGGAAGTCTTCTGCAACCTGGAAGGCCACTGGGTAAACACATCATCATTCCGACTCTGGGGGGCGCAGCCACGCGTAGCCACTGCGCCGCCCGGAGACATGGATAAGAGACACCGGGCAACATTCTGGACAACAATGGTGGTGTTTTTGAGTCCGCGATTTTCTCCCTTCACACGCAATTGCGACGTGAATGCTCATTATAAACTAAAAAAACGATTTTAAACATTTTACTAGGTAAGGCCGATTGAGCTATATAGGTATTTTTTCAGAAGCGACCTGGCCACAAATGACAGCTGGATGAAGTGGCTTACCGTGTGGAAATTTATATCAGCCCAATACTAAACTGCATGTTGATTCTAAATGTGGAGGGGAAAACCGGATGACCCGGAAACAATCCACACGACCTTGAGGAGAAAGACATGCAACTCCAAATACAGGCACTCGTTGACACACGCGAAAGATGCGTTCCTCGAAAAACGCGCGTATCTCAAAATTGCGAATGTCAAAAGCGATTTTCCCATAGGGGATTTCACTCACACTCGCAGACATAATTGCCTAAATCATCCTCGCCTATATCAATACAATACGCGTACACACAATGTAATACTCGGTCCTTAACTCTTCACCACCTGTGTTTTCTTGCTTGAGTACCCTCTCATTAATTATATCCCTTCATCACTTGTGCCCCTTCCCCTCCGCATGTTAGACATCCGGCCACCTGTGTTCTTAATGATCCCTTCACACAAGTTATCGTACCGCACTGGCTGCTGGCAACGCCATTGGGTGGTGGTGCCAGGCTGGGCGTGGCGTGTATGTCACATTGCGGGTGACATTATTCCGAAAATTGCCTCTCGTATGTCAATAAAAGGTCTAAATACAAAGGGCCGCGTTATTCCAAAACGGCGTGCCAAAAAAGCACGGAAACCGAGGATTGCCTGTATACAGGCATACAGGGTCAGGATCGAACCCACGACCTTCTGTATACCAGGCGAGGTAGCTAACATCTCATAGCCACCGTCGCCCTCCTGACGCTTTGGCTTGGGTTGGCCCATTCCGTAAGCTAGCGCCGCCACTGCATTGCAGGACCGAGAGGTGTTCATCCAGGACCACAAGACGGGAGCCTCGGAGGAGTTCTGGAATCCGGACGCCGAGGTCAGGGCACGCAGACTGACGAGGCACCTGGTGCACCTGGAGGAGCAGGGCGACTACGAGTCGGAGAAGTGAGTGTCGCGGTGCAAAAGGAAAAATTATTGGTGTACTAATGAAATACTAATGCAATACTTTATCCATTTACAGTATTTTATTTTCAGTGGGTTGCTTTCCTCGCCTATACTTTGCACTCCGATCGTTTGTTGCTGTCGTTTGTTGCTGTTACTTTCTGAGCCCGTGCCCCTGCTGGACATCTGTGAACAAGAGCTTCGTAGATCATCGGATTTATCCAGGATAAATAAAGATTCTGATTTCGAAGACTTCACACCGGGTTGCAGCATTGCTATATTGGCTGTGAACTCACTTCTGTTGTCATTACGTTTTCAGGACAAAGAGCCCAACCGAAAACTCTGAATCTATCCGTCTCTAACTGAATTGTGACCATTGCTGACATATTGGCTGATAATTTATCTATTTTTTCCGTGGTAAGGCAGTGTTAATAACAAGTGTTTTTTTTTAGATACATGTTTACATACGCCATGTATGAATTCAGACATCGAAGATATTGCTTTGCCTATTGTTATAGGCTGCTGCAAGTGTCCATAGTGGGCAGTACGTAGAGGGCAGTGAAGACAAAGCCATTGTTCTTCTTGGTTCTTTCGGTAAAGTCACGTAGAAGGGAAGCAATAAAATAATAAAAATAAAACATTATAAAATAAAATAATTCTCACGACGTTTCGGCCACAACGCAAGCATGTTTTATTTTTATTATTTTATTGCTTCCCTTCTACGTGACTTTACCGAAAGAACCAAGAAGATGGATCCCTGCAGTCACGAAAGCTTTAAATCGAAAATTAAAGCCATTGTTGTACTCTACTTGATGCTCCCACCTTTACCCATCCGCAATGACCGGCATGGTTGAGTGGTCAAATAACCCCCATGACCTGCAGGCCGGGGTTGTAGGCCTTCATCCATCAGTGGATTTCGTTTGTTGTCCTTCCCCCGCACCGGCCGATTAGCACGGTTGGCAATGTACGGTGCGAAAGAAGTTTAACGTACATGCATACAACGGGGCTGTCTATAACTTGTTCCTTAACCGTAGATGCGAATTACTCGACCGCAGATGCGGCAACTTCAGACGCAAATGTTCCACCGGTTGTCCGCGCTGTGGCTCTACAATTGAATGCGTGCTACGGGATGTCGGCGCAGTGCGCTAACGACTGCTCCACCGCTCCCCCCCCTCCTCCTCACACAAAACAAACGCACGCACACACGTACACACACACGCACAAGCCAGGCTGTGGCAACACGTCACGACGGCGATCTCACAGCGGGATCAGCACGAGGCGACGCAGCAGAAGTTCCTGCTGGAGGAGGCCCAGAGGGAGGGGGCTCGTGAGCGCGCCGAGCAGCAGGAGGAGTGGACGCCGTGCCTCTTCGAGTTGGAGCCCCTCGTGGGAGAGTGGCAGTACAAATACGCAGAGTAAGTGCCCTCTCCCCCCCCCCCCCCCCCCACTCGACTTAAACATGGATCGCTTCATGGCCAGGTTTCCGCCGTGTGGCTCTTTCCGACGTGGTTGTAGGTTCGCGCGGGAGGTGGTGGGGGAGGTTCACAGAGTTGGTGCCGGTCTGACATGTGGCCGGTTAAACGAACAGTGCCGGCTATCCTGGGCGTTATTCAGCAAAAGGCGATCTGAGAACCCTGCGGCTGTTGGGGGCTTCATTTGGAAACCGTTCCATGGACGAGCGTTTGCAGGCCTATTTGGTTGATGGGCCCAAGTGTTTATTTTATGGCGGTGGCAAAGCAGACACGTCCATAGACTTACACATTATTTTACCACCGTGTAAGTTTTCGCAATTGTGCTGGATAGATTTGACGTTCTTTCTTCAGGGAACTGAATACAGTTCCTGCAGTAGCACCCAGCCCATGGAGCAAAACGTTGGACCTAAAAATATATATAAAAAGTAAACCATGAAACTATTTAATTTTACCAGGTAAGGCCCAATGAGTGATAAATCTCTTTTTCCGAAGCAACCTGGCCACAAATGATAGTTCAACGAAGTGGCTTATCATGTGGAAATTAATCGCAGCCAAATACTCTAAACGCGTGTTTCTAAATGTGGAGGGAAAACCCGAATGACCCACGGGGAGAACACGCAAACTCCAAATATACAGACGTCAGAGTCGACATTGAACCCAGCACCTCCTGCATACCAGGCGAGGTAGTTAACATCCCGCCACCGCGCCTCTCATAAACATACGAACACAACATGACATTGTGCCGAACATGCGGCGTACATCCCGAAAACGCATCGACAAGGGCACATAGCAAACGTCACAGGCATCCGCAGCTGCCTTTCGGGCGCCTCGCCGAAGCCATTTTCACCGTTTCACCCCCCCCCCCGCCCCCGCCGGTTGCAGCCTCCGCCCGTGGGACCCTCTCAACGACATCGCGCAGTACGAGCAGGACGGCGTGATCCGGACCCACGTGCGGCACGACTCGAGCGTGGCGCGCTGCGCCAGCGCCCTGGGGCTCAGTCCGAGCGCCGCCCGCTCCTTCCTGCAGCGCCGCCGGGTGAGTGCGCATGGCACAACGACACCCCCTGAACCCCCCCCCCCCTTCCCGTAAAGGGCAGCCGTTTAAACGAGCGCGCCGGCGGTTTGTCGATGGGCGGTGGGATAAAGCGCAGGGTGCTCGTGACTCCCTGTCTCTTTCAAAGTCGTCCTGGGTCAGAGTGAAGGAGTCGGCCAATAGCTTCATAGCAGCTCTCTCTCGGAGCTCACCCGAGTAGAGGCCCTTTGGCCAGCAGTGGGGGCTGAACAGGAATTGCAGGGTTGCACCTTCACGTGTTTTTTATCGGGTAGGAGGGCAGTGGTGGCACAGTGGCTCACGCAATGCCCAACGAACCTGGCTACCTGTGTTAGATTCCTGGACGTGGCTAACATCAATCTTGCCATCGTTGGGGCACATCAATCATTCCTTCCTCCTGAGTTTCGATCTGCATTCTTCCCTGCTTGGTTCATTCTTTGACATTGCCTGTCCAGCTGACACGCAGTCTCCCACATTCGCCTTGTGCACTGCACTATGAACCTGATGACCTGAGTTTGATTCCCGGCCACGGCTAACATCAGTGGGTGAGTGATGTCTGAATCAGTGCCGCTGGGTCAGAAATAACCCCTTCCTCTGCCACCCTATCCCTTCACCTACCAGCACTGATCATCACGGTGAAGTTTGGTCAAACAAAACCACTTAATATATTACCCATTATGAAAAACTGATGGGGAGGGAATCGTTTATCAGTTTTAGAGAGATGCAATAATGTTGCATGTTGAGTCTAACCAAGCAAGATCTGAAATTGCAGGGATCGCTCCCATGTTACTGATGATAATAACACTGCCTGTGATAATAAATTACAACCCTGTGTCAAAACTCTTCATGTAGGCCTCACGGTGCTTTATGAGGGTTGTGGAATCTGAAGGAAAATGTAATCTTTTCTTCAATAATTCCATTATAGCTTAACGGTGTAGATTGCAAATTGACTGAGTTGTTTGCATAAATGGACACTTCTGGTTGAACAAATTGTATTGCAAGATGGCCGATAAGAGAAAAATACGGAACTATATGCAGCATAGAGTGAGTTACTGGGAAGCTGAAATTCCCAAATGAAATTTTACCTAACTTTCGTGACTGCAGGAATTCATATTCTTTGTTTTTTTCGGTAAAGTTACGTAAATAGTTAAATTACAAATAAAAGCAAAAAACCCACGACGTTTCGATCGCAACACAAGCGGTCTTCGTCAGGCGGTAGAGAAAAGAGGATTTTTAAAATTGTATTTTTTTATTTTCTATCTACGTGACTTTACCGAAAGAACCAAAGAATATCCCAAATGAAATGTTGAATAACTCTTGAGTGGATTAGTTAAAAATGTTGATAAAAGGATGGGATTGAGGGTAAACCTTCGTCGCGACTTTGTCTTGGGAACTATTGCTCCGACTGCCTGTGACATCTGAGCCCTGAGCGTTCCGGGAGGGCGAGCGTGTTGGATTGCCGCGTGGGTCTTCCCTGTGATGGGCGAAAATCAATCGCGTGCAGAGATCGTCCAAAGACGAGAAGAGGAGCGAGCGACGTGACCAGGAGAGCCGGGCATCGACACCCGACCTCGATCACCGCGACTCCTCCGACATGGACGGTGCGACGCGAACCGCCATTGCGATGATGCAGAAATGTAAACGCGGGACGGCCCTCTTTGTCAGTCCACCGCTTGGAGGCCTCCAAACGCCGTACGGATTGTGAGGGTTTATTTGACCATGCTTCACCGCGCTGGTCGGTGCAGGGTGGTCAAGGGCGGAGAGCATAGACGTTGGGTGCGTGGAAGGTATAGGAGGTCCCTGCTTTTGCGACACAATGCGTTCCCGGAAACCTCGTCTTGTCGTAATTCAGATCGTCCTAAATCGGACTCCTATTTTCCCTGTTGACAGCAGAAACGGTGTAAACATCACTTGTCGATGTGTTTTTCCTTTTATCAGCCATATTTGAGGGTTTAATAGGTAAACATCCACAAAAAACACTTTGAGAAAAACTTAAGCTCCACGCCCAAGTCACATGAGTATACGTCGTAAATCAAGTTGCTGCGTCCTAAATCGATCCGTGGTGGCATTACGTCGTAAATTTTGATCGTCGTAAACCGGAGACCGCCTGTACAATAGAACAATGTATTTTGTAGCGCTGCCCTCTGCTGCCCACCACATAGCCACGCTAGCCTGTTAGTTGCATGGTGGTCACCCATCCTAGCACTTATCCAGGCACGAGCCTGCTTGGCTTCTGAGGTCTGATCAGATTGGGCACATTCTGGGCAACCAACAGACACACGATCTCTCTGTTCAAATGGGCAACGGCGGATGCACTCGTCTCTGTTGGTGGCCCCCAACCAGTGGTGATACTTCCACATTCCCTTGGCAGGTGCCATGCTATTCAGAAATTGACTACAAATATAGCAATGCCCCGATTTACGCCCCCAACTTTTGCGCCGTTTTGCAAATATGACGTCACTTTATTATCAACACCGCGACTCGATTTGCATCGCCTCCAACCCGCATACACTCGCGTCGCCGACAGCATCGTCCGTCCTTTCTCGCTATGCGTCGCCTCTCAGCCCTCGCCTCCACCACCTACCCTGTCAATCGCTTCGATTTACGTCATTGCGATATTCGTCGTGGCACCTTTCACGAACGCATCCCCCGACGTAAACCGGTGGTATAGCTGCACCGTCGTTGGTGTGGAGCCGTGGGGCTTTTAGGCGTTGTGCATCTAAGCGTGGGGATTGGTGTGGCCAGAAGATGGCGGTGTTGGAGTATGCTTGGGATTTCTATGGTCGAGTACAGGAACTCCTCTACTTACGAACGTTCGACTTACGTACGTTTAGAGATATGAACAAACCTGTCCGTATGTCCATTTGCCTGTTCGGACCGAGAGTTGTAAGTTCAACCGCCGCGCAATAGATGGCGGTGGTGGCATCTACATCTACAGATTATAAAACATTTTAATCCATTCACCGTGTTTACTGTACATGCCGTACAACATGAGTAAAGTAGGACTTCGAATAAATCGACTTCCAAACAGACCTCTGGAACCTAACTCGTTCGTAAGTAGAGGAGTCCCTGTACTCCTCACATACTTTCCTCACACATACCACCCCTCATGGTACTGGCCAAATATCCCAGTTCAGGATGCTTCGGGGAGAAAAAAAGCTGAAAGGCTCAGGGAGGCTTTCCTCGCTAAACAATTGCCATTATTGCTATTTCTCCAGATGATCACCACCAGCCACATGTATTTCAGTGGCATAATAATATTTTCAATTCCAAATTCTTGTATTCGGAGTCACAATCAGAATCTTTATTTGGACAGGAGGAATCCGATGAGCTATAAAGCGTTTTCACAGATGTCCAGTATTTTCACAGATGTCCGTCCAGTGGCGTTAGCAGAATTTCACGAACGTCCACTTCAGCTGAAGTGAGACAGGTTTGAGTCTACACTATGGGAACCTCATTTGCTAGTAAAAATATGATAATTGGTTTTTTACCCTTCTATCTGGCAACAAAACTGACACCTTTTTTACAAGGAGTCATGTTTGCATAGACCGCAATACCTGCAGTCATAATACAAACAAAAGACATAACTCTGATAATGTACACTGTCCTTGAAGTTGATTGGTCCACACCCGAGACAGCTTTCCTTAGAGCCTAGTCTCACATGGGTTGGACCAGATGACTCCAAAAGGCGTACAACTCAAACACAGTAAACATGACTCCTTGTAAAAAAAGGTGTCAGTTTTGTTGCCAGATAGAAGGGTAAAAAAACAATTATCAGGTTTGAGTCTCTTAAGAACTGTTGCACATGTAATAGTCATCTACAACGATGTGTCACGCTGTGTGAATAATGCTGCATGTTGCCTTATTCTGTACACCGTGCTGTCGCAGAGCCAAGATGCCACACTAAAATGCACAGAGGGGACATGCAGGAAGTCTTCACTGTGTTGAAATCCATCAGAAAAACGCAGGATGACATCTGCAGGTAAATATTCTCTACACGGTAAGCTTTGAAAATGAAATTGGTTTTTTACCCTTCTATCTGGCAACAAAACTGACACCTTTTTACAAGGAGTCATATTTGCATAGACCGCAATACCTGCAGTCATAATACAAATAAAAGACATAACTCTGATAATGTGCGCCTTTTGGCGTCATCTGGTCCAACCCATGTGAGACTAGGCTCTAAGGAAAGCTGTCTCGGGTGTGGACCAATTAACTTCAAGGACAGTGCACATTATCAAAGTTATGTCTTTTGTTTGTATTATGACTGCATGTATTGCGGTCTATGCAAACATGACTCCTTGTAAAAAGGTGTCAGTTTTGTTGCCAGATAGAAGGGTAAAAAACCAATTATCATATTTTTACTGGCAAATGAGGTTCCCATAGTGTACTGTAAACTTTTTTTAAAAAAATGTTGAATCGTAACATTTAAGCCACGTTGTAGTCACAACGGAATGCACGGTTACCATTGTCACCGCACGCCAGCAATGTTTTATGAGTAGTAAGCCTACTATTCACACAGCAGTATAAATGGGTACGCCGTTGGTTTATGGGCACAACGTGTGAGGTGGGGTAAAGTGTGAGAACTCTCACCTCTTCCAGGATGCCCGACCACCGTGAGATGGTCCGAGTAAACTCCATAGAGGGGCTCACTCGTGTCCCTTCTAGTAGAGGCCCTTCCGCCGGCAGTAGCGTGGGCAAGCAATTTCAGGGCTGCACCTTCGCCATGCATTGATACCCAAGGATGACCCTTCTCTTGCCCATCAGAATCTTTATTTAGACTGGAGGAGGAATCCGATGAGCTATGAAGCTCTTTTTCACAGATTTCCAGTATGGGCGGGTGAGCAAATTACAACAAATAGTACAACACCGATAGCAGTGCAAAATAAAGGAAAAGTTGAGCAAGTCACTAATTGTGAATAACAAATATATTTCTGAGGTCGGATTTATCAAGCTTGAGCAAGGCAGCAAAAACAACAGAGCACACAGTATAGTCCCTCAATATAATGGCACATTAACAACCAAACTACGTCACCTGTAACAGTGAAATATTAAACAATTTGCGCTCAGCTCACTACATAGGTGCATGCCATTCACTGTAAGGATGCCTCCAGCTGCCAACTTTCTGGCAGGAGCTGAACAATGCACCGTTTTTAGCAGTAACAAACGAAAGCCACTGCAAATTAATCCTAAATTAATTACTCTTTATCAAGGGTCTGAAAGGGGAAGCGTGAGTAGGTTCAACATGGATTTTCATTCTTAAACCCACAATTAATGTCATCCGCTGCTGGTAAAAATTGTAAGGAGCGCAAATTAACTTTCGTATTTCCTTTTAACATACGTTGTGCCAAAAGTACATCTGCCATACGTGATGGAAAGCACTGTTATCGTAAATCAGCACTCTGTTACATCACATGCATTCATGGGTGTAGCAACTGTCAGGTGTTGTATACAATAGGTGACATTGGAAAAGGGGAACTATAATCTGTCACGAGAAATAGTTGCTCTTGGGGCGCCGCAGTGGCGAGATGTTAACTGCCTTGCTTGGTATACAGGAGGTCGTGGGTTCGATCCCGACCTTCACGCCTATATGTTTGGAGTCTGCATGTCTCTCTCCCCGTGGTTGCTGTGATTTTCCTTCTGTTTTTCCCTCCACATTTAGAAACTTGCGTTTTAGAGTTTTTGGCTGCTATAAATTTCCACGTGAAAAGCCACTTCGTTGAGCCAGCATTTGTGACCAGGTCGCTTCTGGAAAAAGAGCTGTAGAGCTCAGTGGACCTTACCTGGTAATATTAAAAACAAATGTTGCTAAGTTTAAGAAGCTGTGCTCTAATATACGAGTCAGCACAAAGGATGGCTGGTCACAAATGAGGAAATTTCACGTCTGGTGTTCTGGTCGCATCGCTCGTTGCGCACAACACACTCGGCACAAGAATGTCCCAGTTCTTTAAAACGCCGAACACTTCCCCTTTTGGTGTTGAGTCTGTTTGACGCGCAGAAAACAACAAACATTTGCAATGTCAATTCCAACATTCCCTTTGAGATCTTTCAACACAAGTAACCGGCGCTCTGTGGCCTGTGGCGTGCAGCAAGGTTAAGGAACTCGTCCGACAGACCTCGGTGCCAAAGGCCGCCAGGGAAAGGCGGCCGTCCAACCGCGAGTGGCTGCTCCTGTGCATGCTGGTGATCTGCCAGGCCCTGCTCGCCTACGTCCTCAAATAGCGGCCGCCTCGGGTTCTCACCCCTCTAGGCCAATGGACTGTGCTCAGAGTGTGGGACACTGATGATGGGTAGGTGAGATTGGGGGGGCGGGGGGAGAAAGGGCCATGTCCCGGAGGCGGGTTGGGTGCAGGGATATCCGAATACTACTGTGTAGGTTCCACGGTTGCGCTGCATGGCTCTGCGATGTGTTTTTCGGGTTGTACCGCGCGCTGTTGGGCACGATGGCCGGCGTTTTTGCTCCGCGTGTTTGGAGCTTCTTCAAGTCATCTGGAGGATCTCTCTCCCGAAAACACGTCGGAGAGCGATTGGATGTTCCAATTTCGATTTAAAGCTTTCGTGACTGCAGGGATTCATCTTCTTGGTTCTTTCGGTACTTCCCTTCTACGTGACTTTACCGAAAGAACCAAGAAGATGGATATTCCAAGTTTGAACTCCGAAATACTCATGGGGCATTTCCACTTACAAGCCACACGTACAATATATAACCCAACGTTAATTTAAATTGTGCTTGACCAATCCTGTCATGATTTATGGAATTGAAGAGAGCACGGTTTGAGTCCTACCATGAGCAATCCACTTCTCCGCGCCAAAACATCCTACTACTACGACCACCACTACGACATAATTATTTTCACAGATTTTCTTTAACGGATATCTTGTCCAACAAAAGTACTTAAGTTTCAAGGCAATATATTTATTATTTGACGAGGGTGAGCAACGATTGAGATGATAACCCGGTTTATGTGGGGGATGCATTCCTGAAAGGCACGAGGAGTATCGAAACGATGTCAAGCGAAGCGACTTGCAGGGTAAATTTCGATTTAAAGCTTTCGTGACTGCAGGGATTCATTTTCTTGGTTCTTTCGGTAAAGTCACGTAGAATGGAAATAATAAAATAATAATAAGTATTATAAATAAATAATTCTCACGACGTTTCGGCCACAACGCAAGCAGCCGTCCTCAGGTGAAGAACAGGTCTGTCGAGAAGACAGAGTCATTCAGACTCTGCAAGGTTGGTGCATGTGTATTTATTCAGACTCTGTCTTCTCGACAGACCTGTTCTTCACCTGAGGACGGCTGCTTGCGTTGTGGCCGAAACGTCGTGAGAATTATTTTATTATGTTTTATTTTTATTATTTTATTATTTCCATTCTACGTGACTTTACCGAAAGAACCAAGAAAATGACTTGCAGGGTAGTTTGTGAAGGCGAACGCCGAGAGGCGACGGACGGCGAGAAAGGACGGGCGATGCCGTCAGCGACGTGAGTGTGTGGGGTTGAGGTGACGCTAATCAGATGGCGGAGTTGATAGTAAAGTGACGTATTTGCGAAACAAAGTAAAAAAAAATGGGGATGTAAATCACGGTATTACCGTAACCTCATATTTAACCACCACTGCGCACATGCATGTATACGTGTATGTGTCAAGGTACATGCGCATGACTGTATATATGCATGTATGTATGTGTGTATATGAATATATATGTGGGTTATCCACGTATGGATTCTTCCAACTTTGACGAGTCGTCATGAATTCAGTCGTGAGTCAAGTCAAGGAATGGGTTATTGTTGTTCGTGCAGCATTGCAAACGTCTGCAGGAGGCACAGGAGCCAAATGCATACAACATACGTGAGCAGGAGAATGGGATTTTAATTGAACTGATGCATCGTACTACACCAAGTGCGTGTGCAAGGTTGGTGCATGTGTATTCGTGTGTATATGTATCTACATATATTACACGAGTATATTCATAGCGCGTGCTTGTAGCAGAGTGTGGTTATCGCACTGCGCTACAAAAGCCTGGAAATCGGAGTTGAATCCCCGGCCACGAATAACGCCAGTGGCAAATACCTTAACCTGTACAGAGCCTCCCCTAGGTCAACTCCACCTTAAATGAGCACCTGGTGTAGAGTGAAAATCAGCACCCGAGAAGACAAAGGCCGCCAGCTGTCGTGCCGGCCTTATTTGAATGTATCTATTTGTAGTTATGTATCTACACCTATGTGTGCATCAGTATTCATGTACCTACATGTAAACACGTGAACACTTAAGACTTGGCTGTATATGTATGTGCACTTGTATATGGATGTGTATATAGACATGTACATATACGTGTGCGAAGGAGATATTGACCTCTTTCATTTGAATTCAACTATAGACCCTCTCACAGTTCTACAACCGAACGATGGCCACTCCACCCACAGTACTGAGTAGAGGAGTTTCAACAGCACGCATTGGCGTGCACCGTGTGCGTACGACAAAGCTCTTGCAGCGCAACGGGCTCGTCGCACCAGGGGGTCGGATGCGCCCGGAACGTCGGACTCCGAAATAAACGCGCCAGACTCGGCGTCCGCTCGTGGGGATCAAGGGTGAGAGTTCAGGAGACAGCGGGGGGGGGGGGGGGCGGGGGTGGCGCTCTTTCCCCACGGGTGCTTTGGCGGTACACATCTGGCAGAGACGTCAGCTGCAAGACCCAATGGTTCTCGTGCTCCCGCTCCGGTCCGTTACCGATGAGCGCTTGGCTCGCGACGGCGCATCGGCAAAGCCTCGCTGGCAGACACCCGTCACCGGCTCTGCGCGGTGTCACCGGGGTGGGTGTCACACTGCAGGTTGGCGTTGCGACCCGGCAACATACCGACGGGCTCACTCGCCTCCCCGAGACGTCATCCAGCCGGCGTTACGCGGTGCTCCTCGCACGGACGCCCACGGTCGCGCGTTGCTAACCCCACCAAAGCGAGGTCCTAACCCGCCCTCTTTGTCTACGGCCTCAAAACACTCACACGAGTCTTCCCACGAGTGATTTGTGGTGGTTTCCCACGACGACACACCGCGTATAACCCACAATGCACGCCTACTCTCAGCGGGCCCTGCGCCAACTTTGATAGTTGATCTCGTTAAGAGACGCTATCCCGGGGCCTTCTCCCCTGCCGCAGCACCTGTCCTACGCAAGGCAGTGCCTATGGCTTTGACGTACACGCGCGCGTAACGCTATGCCAGTTATTACTGCGCCCTCGGTCAGCACAAACACACGGTCCACCTCGTCCACCCCGTAACGCGTGACCCATAAAGCACCGGCGAAACCGTTCACTTTGGAGGAAACTGTTCGACGGATTTATCGTCTCCCTGCAATCCAACATGACCAAAGTTCCACGTGTCCACTGTCCAGTATTGCTGACCAGATGAGAAGCTCTCTTGCCACAGGGCTGGTCCGTTGTAGTTAAAGCTGTGTGGCGGATGGGGACGACCCTGTAACACAAAGTTCCACATTATTGTCCTGGACTAATTTGACAGCCAAAGGGCCGGGTTTGCGTCCAGTCAGTGAGTGACCATATTTCCAAACGTCGGCTCTGCCGAGGACAGGTAAAAAGCCCGCATAGTCTCCTGAAGGTGCGTCCACTTCATGTGAAGCTATCCTGCTGGTTCACGAGTGCAGGTGCAGCTCCTCAGCCTCTGTTCTCCCTCCACGAGTGTTCGGGTCTGAGGTGTGAGAGAGATGAGCCGGGCATCTGGAAGGGGTTGATTGACACAGGAGCTCCTCTGCACATGCTCCAGCATTGTCCATCCCAGGTGGTTCATTGTAGCCACTGCTTGCATCTGGTTTGATCAACTATCAAAACGTGGATTTTTGACAAAACGAGATTTTTTGACAGTGGATCCTTCCAAATATACAAATTGTCAGCAGGACTGTGGCACAAACATTTTGGGGCAAGGTGCGTTGCGATTTAGCCTCTCCCATGAGGTTGAGAAGACAACCTGATGTAATGGATAATCTATGTTCTACACGCATACAGAGGAAACAAATAGGCGACACAAGCTTTCTTGTGCTATATCACAACAAAACAAAATATTGAATGTCACAGCATACAGGTTCTTAGCAATATATACTCACCGTTCCTATTTTCACGCTTGGTTTTAAATGTTTTGATGTAGCCGCTAAGTACGTGTGGCAGAATTAATCATCCAACTCCATCGCCGTGACAATCCCCCGCCGAATTATCGCGATACAAGATCTCTAATTCAATAACGTTCTTGTCTTAAGACTGCTGTGAATCATAGCGCCACTCGTGGATAAAACAGCCGCGTGATCTCACCACCATATTTCATTTACACATGGAGCGAATAACGTGTGTTATTATGCACGTTATTTGGTGCACCTATACCGTGAGCCAAAGAATCAAATGATGAACCGATGAATCGATGCGTTGTTCCACCCGGACTAAGTGCTGTTAATGTTTCATCTTGTACAGATAACTATTGAACTTGAAGTCAAGTCGAAGGGTCTCTCTCCCCGCTCATAATGAGCAATGAGGACCTATCTGATCTCCAGAGCCATTGGTGGAACTTCCACACACAACTCCTTTGATGGAGGTTGTTCTCTCTGCAGGAGGGTCTAATAACTTATATGGGTATCCTCCCATTGTCTTGGCTCTGCTCGTGTGTATATACACTGTTGACAATTCCATTTCTGTATCTCAGTACACACAGGGTCAGACAGGATATCAACAAGGTGTGAAAGTATACACCCGCCGGCGACCAAATAAATTGTCGCGATTCGTTTACCATTGAGGCTAATGTGAAATCATTACGTAAAACAAACACATGAAACACACTGATTATTACATATGTATTGTGAGATCATGAATCGATATTAATCAATCGATACATGACACCGCCAACATCAACGCACGTCCTTGCCTCTATGCCACTTACTCTGCTGGCGCAGCTCTGAAGGGCACAGATTTCGATTTAAAGCTTTCGTGACTGCAGGGATTAATCTTCTTGGTTCTTTCGGTAAAGTCACGTAGAAGGGAAAAAAATTATTTATTTGTGTTTTTTTATTTTCTTATTTCCCTTCTACGTGGCTTTACCGAAAGAACCAAGAAGAAGGGCACAGATGTTGACTTTTACATGCCAAAACATGGAGAATGACTGATGAACGAGAGTTTGTGACCGTACACCTGTTGACTCATGATGCTGACCTTCTCGTGTGCAAATGATTCACAATTACATTAGATTGAAAACGATGTCACACATTCATCACAAATTGAGCCAACGAAGAACATTTCGTCCAATTTGAAATGCAGATTAAAACATATCTAAATAAAGCTTAACACGCACGTTTTTCATGTTGGCCAGTTTGCCTCAAGGAATCTATGCTCGGCTAAGACTCACCCACAGCAGCCTGAACAGACCAGCCCGATTCTTCTGCTTGTTTGTCTTCAAACAAGGAGACCCGGTTTAACACGCAGACTAGAGTACCAGGTTTACTCTCCCAACACACCGGGTGTGCCGAAGAAGCAACTCTTTGCCACGTTTTGTTTACGTGACAAACCTTAGTAACTGGCTGTCGAGCGGTGGTCGTGGTGGGTTAACGACACATTTATATTTACGCGATATAACCCAAAAAAATTTTATTATGAAAGAGACCAAGCATTGGGCCACGATTCCAACCACGTGTAGAGTCATGGGGTCAACAGTCGGGGATGGATGCAATCAACAGGTTTCCTCACTTGGGTCAAATTCAGTGCCAATGTCTTTGTAACAACAACAAAAACATATTTGACTGACAGCAGTGGAGGGTAGGAAAAGGCAGAAGGGGTGGTATGCGATGAAGGGTGAAGAGGAAAGGGCTGAGTCCACAAATGACAAGCACCGTAGAGGATAGGGGACCCCTCCTGGAATGTCCCAGGACCATCTCGGAGCCGAGGAGCTCACTTTGTCCAGTGGTAGCCCAGCGTAAGAGCACACTCCACCGGTATGGGAAAAGCACGGGAAAACCCCGCGTTGAATTTCACTTCGTGTCGAGCTTGGATGAAGACGTTGATAATTACAGCTCAACAAGGGCTCAAATTAGAGATTAATAGTCAAAATTCCAACAGTTTTCCTCATTGTTGGAATCACTCCACCAACTCTGGCACA